TACAGGTATATGGATTTGGAACATTTTCTGCGTTTGTTATCTTGTTATGAACTCGGAGTTGGAATTTGAATAACCTGAATAATATGCCCTCGGCTTAGTGACTTGGTGACATGATTCCTACATTTTAAGTTAATATATAATGCTACGTTATCATAAAGGAATGTGTTACACNGATTTGGAACATTTTCTGCGTTTGTTATCTTGTTATGAACTCGGAGTTGGAATTTGAATAACCTGAATAATATGCCCTCGGCTTAGTGACTTGGTGACATGATTCCTACATTTTAAGTTAATATATAATGCTACGTTATCATAAATGAATGTGTTACACCCAAGAATACACCTGATTCCATGTACTGCATTATGAAGTAACCGGGTCCGTCTTCGTGTTTTATTTAAAGAATTCAACAAACACACGTGCTGTTGACGTAAACAGCACATTTCTGAAACAACAATCCAGATAATCTGCTCGTTGTTGCATTGTTTTGGGTGCTTTTCATATAGTTAATATTGATAATTGGTGTTTCGACGATTATCGCAGGCGCTGTCAACATTCTTCTTCAGGTTTTACCTGCCCACACGTAACCGAGGAATTTAGTATGCAATCCCTCCCCCAACAAAATAATTGTATCTGCGTTATTTTAGCATTAAACACCTGCTGATAAAGTACGGAACCGATATGGTATACCCTTATATTATATTTTGTTTTTCAACTGTGTGTGGGAGATATTCAAATGTCGATAGATATACTTTAACCTTTCGTCAGAATGCTTTTCAAAATTACCTGTAGTTTGGGTTTGGGTTGTAGTAAAAGAGGTTTTAAGACAATTTGGTATTCCAACTTTACGTAAGGGCAAAGTAATAATGCGTAATAAAGACGCAGTAAGCAAATATCCCAAGTTAAGGAAAATTAACAAGTTACACGTATTGCAATTAGATAATAACTATAGTCCAATGATAAACAGCGGGTAACATCACGTTAATTTAATTTTCAGCATGAAACAGAATGCTGACTGATGAACATTTTAACACAAGATACACAAAGTAAACCATTACCATAAACTGAACAGGGAACTTAATATAAACCATGGGTAGAACTGTAGCCTTTTATCTCAGAACTGTTGTCCGTAGCTGCATTCGCTTTGTCATTTATGTAATCAAACATTATTAATATAATTCGCTGTATAATTAGGCTACATGTTTTTAAAACAGTAGCCTTGTTCAGTCAGTAATACGGTGTATATCGTTATAGTACACTGCATTTAATCTATAAACTGTCTCTATTTGTAATTGTTATCTTGCTAATTGCTCTATAAACATTTCTTCCTCTACATTTACGTCCGATTATAATGCACTCCGCCACAGAAAACGCTTAAAAATATGATAGATTAATTTGGGCCTGCTTTTGTGAAAGTATATGCCACTTTGAGAGTTAATAACAAAACGTCTTTGTTGTATCAAAAATCATATATATATATATACATGTGTGTGTTTTATTTACACTGCTCTATGACGGGCCTGGGTTTTAATTAAGTCCAGTCCTTATACATAATGCTATGTATGCAAATAGTCTTAAATGACTACGTTGCTCTCTGTGTCATTATCCATGAAAATGATCTGGCTAATGTGTGTGGTTTGTGCTAGCATAATTGGAAGTATATTTCAAAAGTCTATCGAAATTCCTTAGCGGACAAACTGTATGCCAATTGTCTTAGATTTTTTTTATGAAGCTGAGTTTATACAAATATAAAGGACAAGAGATAACGTTATTTTAGATCTTTTGGATTTGTCATTTAAAAACAAGAAACTTGATTATTAATTGAATTATAATTATCCTTCAATCGGTAAAACATAACTCAGTTCCACATTTTGATATTCCCTTTAATATGAAAATAATGGTCACCTGACTGTTAATAACTATGAAAACCATTTCGACCTTAATATTACAATCCGGAAATGTCTTTGCTTTAGTTGTGACATCATAGCCTTCCATACGGATAGAGTGCACTAAGGATCACAGTTGTTTTGCTACTCATGTATCCCAATAAACAAACAGGTCTTTTTATACCAGCGAGGCTGTAATTTACATTGAAGATATCTTACAAGCACAAAGTAAGTACCAGACATTGGACTGTCTACCAAAGTGTAGCCCAGTAAACTATTTATAACTGTCTTTATATATCAAATCATCATAATGTTTTTTGTTTCTATTTTTCAGAATCAAAATGCTCCGAGCGGTAGCGTTCCAAAATTTTATATACTTTCGGGATCATCAATCCCTGGAATTTGAGGATGGACCTAATTTCATCGTCGGACCGAATGCAAGCGGGAAGACTGCCATTTTTGAACTGATCAGGAGATGTCTATCAAATAATGCGAACGCTTCAACTTCGAGAGTAGCAGACATACATTCTCCTGCTTTTGTGATATGCAAGTTTGAAATTACACACAAGTTATCAGACAAAGTTTTCGCGGGATGCCGTGTTTATTCATGTCTCTATATAAAGCCCGGAGGGGATAACCCAAAGAAAATGTACAAACTTGTTTGTATCACTAACACGGACGAACAACAAGAGAAATGCTATCTTGATTACTACCACAATGTTAAAGTCTTTGGTCCACTACCAGCACACGAAGCATTTATCTTACCCACTGATGACACCGAACTGTCACAGGAATTAGACAAGCTTATAAAGAGTAAACGTGCACTTGATAATTTGGATGGCATGATTCAGAAAATGATGGAAAGCAAACAACAACCTGATATGAATACAGAGCCTGGGGTCAGTGGATGTGAAAATATTCTCCAGGCTATACGCGTTGCTGTTGTCGTTACCTTTCCCATACGTTCTCCGGGGCCCATACAATGGAGCCATAGTGGAAACATTGGTAAAGGAAATGAGCATTACGATGCAGCCTCAACCAAGGCGGAGATACTTCAAGAGCTGCTGCAATCACCTGATGTCGATAAGGTAGAATCAAACCAAATATTCGAGACGATTATCCATCCGTTAAAATACCACTTCAAAAAGAATCCAGACTCAACCATTACAGTCAATGATGGTGCACAAGATATACGATTTCTGAAAGTACCGGAAGGAATCATTGAAGCAAAGCAGTTTTCCTTGATGTTTGCACACAGAAAATACCAAACATTAATGTTAGAGGAACCGGACCTAGGCATGCATCCTCCCATGATACAGAGGTTACGGGATCTAGTATTACGAAGGCACAATCAGGACCGGAAGATGGTGCTTGTGTTTACCTCACATCAACCAGCGATGATCAACCGATGGGCAATGGACCGAATGTACGTGTGCAGGAGAAAGAGGACGAACGACGGGAAGATGAAACACTTCGTTTTCAGATTGAAAAGGACAATCGAAAACATCTTTCAAGAACAGGACAAATTGAAGCAAATGCTGTACTCTTCAAGTGTACTTTTTGTTGAAGGTATCACAGACAAAACAGTAGTGGAATTAATATTCGATCGGGTGTTGGAGGCTGAGCATATTGATGAAGAAATGCTGGATTTGCAAAAGGTAGTTTCAGGGATTCAAGTCATTTCTATCGACGGATCAACACCATACAATGTCCTGAAAACGATGGGAGAAAAACTCGAATTACCATGCGCGTTCCTCTTTGACAGTGACAGCGTATTTGAATGTCTGGCGAAAGTTCAGCCGAAAACTGGTGGAAAAAAATGGAAAAATTCAACTTTATTTTGCGTTAGAATTCTCCTCAAAAGAATGAAGGAAAAACATCACGGAGATAGCGTGGAAAAATCAAAGGAGAAAACGAAAGACGGAACATTTAAACAAGTTATGAAAACGCCTACAGCTAAAGATCAGAAAATACAGAATGAACTGGGCTTAGAGGAGAGCGATTTATCCGATGTCAAATGGACCACGGTTGAATCGTTTTTAAGATCTGTTGTACTGCCTGCAACGTTCTCGTTAAACTCAAAAGTAGTGGGACCTTATGCCTTACCAGAAAACATCAAATATAGCAAGGACGAGCAATTAATCAGAAACCACATGAAAGAAAAGAAAAGGGTTTTCCTTTGGGATTCTGGAAATCTCGAGGATATGATTTGTAGAAGCATTTTGGATTCTGGAGATCAGGCAGATGATCTCCTGCGAAAAGTTTTTCTATGTGAAAAATATGACGAGGGAGCAAGTAACCCCAAAGATCCGGTGAAGCAGACCCTCAAGCAGATGGATATCACAACAGCAGAAAAACTTTCTAAATGTCTGCTTTACTGTCCTGAAATAAAGGCATTTTTCAAATTTCTGAAGCAAATCGAGAAAAAAAGACCACAGCTTTGATACAAAAAATAGGGAAAAGGCAACGGATTTCTCCATTACCTGTTACTCTAGGACTGAATGAAGACAAAAGGAACAATCCTATATATGACAGACACAATGACAAAGAGATCCTTCTGGTGGAAGGATACAGGACGATATGAAGATGATAGAAACGAATTTTAAGCCCAACAGGAATTGGCCAGTATCATCTTTCCAGGAAACGAACTTATCAAAACATTGAAATGGTCAAGTCAAAGAAACTTGACAGACAATTAATTGATTTCATATGACAGCCTTAGTGTTAATTGTTTCTCATTTCGTAATAAACATGCTGATGTTTATTGGCATCAGTACGGTCGACACTGTGAACAACGAATATGCGAACCTACGGTCAAAATTGAAGTGTTTGTGGTGTCCGACGTTCTCTACGAAAACGGTTTCCTGAGCAGAGCGCTTAAGTAAATACACGTAAGTGTTGAATACTAAAAGCTCATATCCATCCTGGGGATAATCGATAACATAAGTTTAAAAAACTTAACGAGTCATTACAATTCTAGAGATTAGAGATTTTGACAACAACAAAACCCCAGAAATTAAGGATTTGATTATAGCAAACATTAAGTTAGTCCTGCTTTCAACAACTGATCAGATATCGCTGTAGCTGGAAGGTAAGTGTGTTCACAGACGTATACATAGTATCAACAGGACCCTGGTATTACATCGCTGTAGAAGATAGGGTTAGTGTGTACACAGGCGTATATTACACCGACCATATAACACCGTAGTAGGCAGGTTAGTATGTCCACAAATGTTAACGTAGATGAAAATATTAGCATTAACAAAATATGTGCGTCCTTTGAAAGGACGTTAACTTACAATATATTATTATTAACCAAGAATTTTCGTCCTGTAAATGGACGTTCGTTTGGGAAAACCCCAAATTATTGTAAGAGAAAAGTGGTAAAACATTAAGTCGATTTGGTAATTATTTACGATATCCTACCGTCAAAAGGAAAACCCTGTCGTAGTGATATTGCGGAATTATGTATTCAATGTGGTGTGGTAAATACTGATATGGAATTGCTGTCCGCTATCTTGAACGTTTTGTATTATATAAACATTTCTATGTAACCCATTGGCTGTTTTCCATTCGGAAATAGAAAACTTTAATAGCCATTGATCAACAGACATATCCGATAATCTTTTGAAACGATCTCGTCAATGTCACTGAATTAACAGAGGGAACACCATTGTAAAATGTTGGCAAAATTGTCTTAGTTAATCACTATCAATGATCATGTTGCTGTTAAGTTTTAAACCAGGAAGAAGCTTTGTCTAGCATAAGATTCAAGAGATTCTTTGTAACAAATTGACATTTAGTCATTAATCATTTTCAAACCATTAATAATATTTTAAGAATTATGTTATATAAATAATATTTTGCAGAACCAAAATGCGAACAGTTACCGATATTATGTAGCATTAAGGCGACTATAAATGAAAAATACGTGTATGTATGTCTTAATATTTTTTACCGTTTTAATTCTGCTTTCTTTCATCGAATGTATCAGATTGCTCGAGTATATTGAGCGTAAAGATATATTTCACGTGACGTTAGCATTAACATGGAGTGTGAGATTGCTTATATTAGTTACATACTATTGTTATTTAAATGCGTTTTATATTTTCGGAAAACCATTGTTCATCATAACTCCGTAGTAATGTTTCATTTGGTTCTCGGAAACCTGAACCGAATAGCGATGGTGACGAAACGACGTAGAAGTCGGATTAATTGTATGTTACCATAGCAAAAAGACGGCAACGTTTTTTGGAAACCATTTGTGTTTCCATTCATCAATTTGATTAATGGGTAATAGCCCATGGGTTCCTATTAAAAACGAGTTCTGGCTAATAAGGTTATACAAGTACATTTGTACTTTGTACTATCACAGTGTGAAATACAAAACATTGTGTCTGAAAAATATATATCGTTCACACTTTCATTGGTAGAATAGTGTATATTATTGGACGATAGAATATTCCGTCTAACTTATATTGAAGATCAATTGAGGAAGTGTTTGTAAATTTGTCAAATGCTGATTTGAAGTGTTTGCAAGTGATGCCGATGGACCGGACGATTTGATTGGTTGATATAAGCGATGATATCAAGCAAGACGTCAGTGTTTATCGTCTCTGTAGAGTATAGTTCAAGGGAGGTAATGCATAGTACATGTCGAAAAGTAGACATAAATAAAAACCGTAAGAGCAATTAAGGATTCTTATATGCATTTTTAGAAAAGGGAGTAAATGGCATAGCAGAAAACGCTAGAAGAATTAAATGTCCGTGTGCTTGTTTTTGAGCTATGATCCGTCAAAGATACCAATTTGACATTATATGTGAATTCAAGCGAATTTTGCAATTTTGGCAATTTGCAGGATACATTTATACAATTTCTTTCGGGTGTGTTATCAGATATATATGAATGTTTGCAGAATTTACTAAAATAGAAATTAGTTAAATTTCTTTAACTTATTTATTTAACACAGAAAAAATAATTAAGTGTCCCTTATTTTTTGATAACAAAATACTCCCTTTTTCACATTTCTTTTGCAGATTTTACACTTGATATAAAAAGTCCTGTTCGATTGGCTGCAGACTATTATATATCATAATTGCAATTATCAGGTGTGAAGGCATGCTCGATTATGGAAAAATAAATAAAACAATAAAACTCATACCAGGCCGTATAGAAAATGCACAAGGACACAAACACTATGTATAGGTATCAGGTAAACAAACAATGAGGCGTCGTTCATTTTCCGTTACTTTCACTTAACATGTTATATTTCCTGTCCATTGAAAATGTCATTACAAAGAATAGGCGACTACGTCAGATTACTCTGAAGATTACCAAGTTTTCGAATATGAATATCATGGGTTTGTGGAATAAAAAAACACAAGACTTTAAAAACAAACCTTACGATTAATTAAAAATACTGATAACAATTTATCATTCACAAGTTTAACTATAAATAAAAAAAGTTGTTTAAGAATGAATCAAAAGTTTTCCAACGTAAATTACAAGATTTTGAATATAAATAACTGGTTCTGAATAAAACGAAAATGGTTTCGGTACAAAATCATAAGATTAAGAATACAACATACTAGTTTTACAATATAAATAATATATATATAATACAAGTTTTTCAATCATTGCGACGTTTGTCACGTTATATCAGACAGTGATATTGTACATTTTGTTTTGTTTTAGCGCTTGATAAAAGGGAGTGTACTCTTACATCTTACTTTTTATGTACACCTGCTATATGGGAAACTATTTTAATTGTACCTGTACATAACAAACGAGGATGAGACTGATCCAAATAACTTTAGAGGTATCAGTCTAGTTTGTTGTTTATGTAAACTATTCACCTTTATTTTAAATTTACGTTTGTTTAATCTATGAACAGAGTATTAATTATGAACAGATGCATCATTTGGGTTTCGCCCTGTTGTTAGTAATGTAGATGCTGTTTTGCTTTGAGGTCGATTATTTTCAATCTATTAACTAGTTGATTAAGTCTACGTTGTAGATTTTCGCAAACTTTTTTTTTATATTGTAGACAGAGGTTAGACTCTGTTATAAGTTAACTAGGTTTGGTGTGACAGGGAACATTTTAGAAACTATTCAGTCACTATGTGTAGTAATGAACGATAAATATTCCGACTTGTTTCTAAAAAATCTGGGGGTTTCTCCAAAGGGAAATCCTCTCACCATGGCTACTCTCTATATTTGTAAATGCTTTGGAAACCAGCTTTAACAATAGAGAGGCTACATCTTATGTTTTTGTTGATTTAAGTTTATTCCTCATCATGTATGCTGATGATCTATAATGACCTACGCAGCTAAGAACAGAATACTGATAAATGGAAATTTAGATGAAAAAAACTCTTATTTTTATTTTTAGAAATTTGGGTATGATACATCATGATAAACATTAAATATAACATTCTATTACGTCTTCGATGTAACGACACTTTGCATTGATTAATAACCAAGGATTATTAGACAATAGACCATGCGCATGCATGTGCTATTTTCCAATTCTCCTTTGTCGAATGACGGTACACCCATTTAATTTTGTATATATTTACAGATTTACAAGCAGACAAAAACTGATTCTATTTAGGCTTTAAATCTACGTTTAACCTGTCAAACTCACGGTCAGAATGGTCCGCCGAACGTATCACTCTGGTGAATTAAAATAGGGTTTGTAAATCTGTCAAATGCCGATTTCATGTGTTGACGAGCGATGTCGATACATTGGTGGATTTGATTCATTGTATTAAACAATTGGCATAATGCATGACGTCAGTGTTTACTTTTTTTGGACACTGAGGTAGACACGAACAAGTCTTTCGTTACTTACTCGTTAGATCAGATATAATCTGTGTTTCTATTATAACTCGGATTCGAAAATGTTGGGACAATAATCAACTTATATATATTCCACCATAATACACGCACATATATTGATCATTTGTATGTCAACCATTGAAGTGGTAGAGCATTTTTGTAACCTTAGTAACCTTTTTCAATGATAAATACAATTTTGTAACCTTTGTACTCTTTTTCAATGATAAATACAATTTTGTAACCTCAGTACTCTTTTTCAATAATAAATACAATTTTGTGATTGAATGTAAAGCTAAATAAGGACGGAAGGCACTTTTTGCTTTGCGATAAAAAAAATGAAGGTACATACATATGAACGCCAATATTAGTACTGTGTTCGATTTATTTGGCTCTTATGTTGGAAGTATTTTATTTACTTGTGAAATTTGGGGTACTCACAAATGTGCTGATATCGAAAAATTGTATCTTGATTATTGTAAAAACATTTTAGGTTTTAAAGAATGTGCTTGCAATGCTAAGTTATTGATGTTTATATTGCGGGGTTCGCAGTTGTATTATTCACATTACATTCAAGATGTTTAGTCTTGCACCATGAGATTCATTTCTAATACTAAACGCCTCTAATATATTAACTTAATTAATTTAAATGATTATCGAGGTTGGTAGAAACACTTTAAATATATATAAAATATTGATGTATGTAAAATATACACTTGTACTATTTATTGGGAATTGGCTGACCTTTGTGTAAACAACTGGACTTTTTGGTCAAGCCATTCCCTCTACAATTCAAAATCTTTGACCACGCTCAATGATATAACAATACAGAATTAAATGGATATATAGTAGTTATATATTTTTTCATGTAACCCAATAATAAGTCAAGATTCATTCTGATTCTGATGTGTAGTCGGTTGCTGCCCCCTGTCAGTGCTGGCCATCTGTAGATTCACGGAGGGGGGCAGAGACTGACTAGGGAACAGAATCACTACATTGGGGATATAATGATAATGGCCTCGAGCTCCACGTGGTGACCCAGAATCAACTTGCTAACTATAAATCTCCTCTTATATCTTACAGCCTACGTTCTTCATCATGTAATCCATCTGCACTCTCAAGTAGATTTATTCTCCAGTTGTAACTCCAATTCCATGTGAATGAAATCCTTCTTCATGTTAAATCCTGCTAAGCCTTTTGTCGGCTGCGTGAACCATGTCATTTTTTAATAACAATCAAGGTAACAGAGATGCTTCACTGATCTGTATCACAATCCACTTCTGTGGTGTAGGGGAGCGAACTCCCATAACGCATATATGACTGAAATAACTTAAATTAACGAGTCACTGCGTTGGAGCTCTGGTCGATGACTTCTGTCCTAGATGTAGAAAAAACTTTTAAATTATTTCACAATAAATATATTATAATATACATTGTTCATTCCATAGGATAGGGCTTGTATAGGTATTACGCCTGTTGCCCAATTCCTTTTGAAATTTGTATAAGATGCAATATTCAATAAAACAAACTGTGAAATGAAATGAAATGTTCAGTCTTGTGTTATATGCGAAGCCAACTGAATTATCATCATAAATAAGAAAAAAGGAAAAACCTATTTGAAAATTCAGTTTGTTGATGCAGAAAATCAAACAAATTAAACGCTTAACTGCAAAGGTCAAAGGAATGAAACACGCATGTAAACAGTGTTCCGAAACATATGTAAAATTCAGCAGAAATGTGCCTATACAATCCATAACCATATTTATAACTTACAGCTGTTGGCTACAACAGGTAGTTTCTGCTGAAACTAGTATTTTATGTTAACTCAGCAAGATCACATATCAAGTACAAGGTTACGGCCAGCCTTGGGGGACTAAAAGTCACTAGCAGAGTATAGGCTACGGCCAGCCTTGGAGACTGAAATTCACTAGCAGTGTACAAGATTAAGGCCAGCCTTGGGGACTGAAAGTCAAAAACAGAGTAAAAGGTTACGGCCAATCTCAGGGACTGAAAGTCAGCAGCAGGGTACAAGGTAACAGACAGCCTCGGGGACTAATGGGGACTGAAAGTCAACAGTAGAGTACAAGGTTACGACCAGCCTCGGTGACTGAAAGTCATCAGTAGAGTACAAGGTTACGGTCAACCTCGGGGACTGATAGTCACCAGCAGTGTACAAGGTTACGGCCAGCCTCGTGGATTGATAGTCACCAGCAAAAGACAAGGATACGGCCAGCTTCGGGGGCCGATAGTCACCAGCAGCTTACAAGGTTACGGCCAACTTCGGGGACTGATAGTCCCCAGCAGCGAACAAGGTTACGGCCAGCTCCGGGGACTGATAGTCCCCAGCAGCGTACAAGTTTACGGCCAGCCTCGGAGACTGATAGGTTACGGCAAGCCTGGGGGACTCAAAGTCACCAGCAGTAGACAAGGTTACGGCCACCTCGGGGACTGATAGTCCCCAGCAGCGAACAAGGTTACGGCAAGCCTGGGGGACTCAAAGTCACCAGCAGTATACAAGGTTACGGCCAACTTCGGGGACTGATAGTCCCCAGCAGCGAACAAGGTTACGGCCAGCTTCGGGGACTTATTGACACCAGCAGTGTACAATGTTATGGCCAGCCTTCACGGCCAACCTCGGGGTCTGAAAGTCACCAGCAGTGTGCAAGGTTACGGCCAATCTCTGGTACTGATAGTCACCAGAAGTGAACAAGGTTACGGCAAGCCTGGGGGACTCAAAGTCACCAGCAGTATACAAGGTTACGGCCACCTCGGGGACTGATAGTCCCCAGCAGCGTACAAGGTTACGGCAAACCTTGGAGACTGAAAGTCAGCAGTAGAGTACAAGGTTACGGCCAACCTCGGGGACTGATAGTCACCAGCAAAAGACAAGGTTATGTCCAACCTCGGGGACTGATAGTCACCAGCAGCGTACAAGGTTACGGCCAACCTCGGGGACTGATAGTCACCAGCAGTGTACAAGGTTACGGCCAGCCTCGAAGACTGATAGTCACCAGCAGTGTACAAGGTTACGGCAAGCCTCAGAGACTGAAAGTCACCAGCAGTGTACAAGGTTACGGCCAACCTCGGGGACTGATAGTCACCAGCAAAGGACAAGGTTACGTCCAACCTCGGGGACTGATAGTCACCAGCAGTGTACAAGGTTACGGCCAACCTCGGGGACTGATAGTCACCAGCAGTGTACAAGGTTACGGCCAACCTCGGGGACTGATAGTCACCAGCAGTGTACAAGGTTACGGCCAACCTCGGGGACTGATAGTCACCAGCAGTGTACAAGGTTACGGCCAACCTCGGGGACTGATAGTCACCAGCAGTGTACAAGGTTACGGCCAACCTCGGGGACTGATAGTCACCAGCAGTGTACAAGGTTACGGCCAACCTCGGGGACTGATAGTCACCAGCAGTGTACAAGGTTACGGCCAACCTCGGGGACTGATAGTCACCAGCAGTGTACAAGGTTACGGCCAACCTCGGGGACTGATAGTCACCAGCAGTGTACAAGGTTACGGCCAACCTCGGGGACTGATAGTCACCAGCAGTGTACAAGGTTACGGCCAACCTCGGGGACTGATAGTCACCAGCAGTGTACAAGGTTACGGCCAACCTCGGGGACTGATAGTCACCAGCAGAGTACAAGGTTACGGCCAGCCTCGGGGACTGAAATTCGCTAACAAAGTACAAGATTACGGTCAGCCTAAGGTGACTGAAAGTCACTAGCAGAGTACATTGCTACGGCCAACCTTTGGGACTTAAATTCACCAGCAGTGAACAAGGTTAAGGCCAGTCTTGGGGACTGATAGTCACCAGCAGTGTACAAGGTTACGGCCAACCTCGGGGACTGATAGTCACCAGCAGTCACAATGTTACGGCCAGCCTCAGAGACTGAAAGTCACCAGCAGTGTTCAATGTTATGGCCAGCCTCGGGGACTGATAGTCACCAGCAGTGTACAAGGTTACGGCCAGCCTCGGAGACTGATAGTCACCAGCAGAGTACAAGGTTACGGCAAGCCTCAGAGACTGAAAGTCACCAGGAGTGTACAATGTTATGGCCAGCCTCGGGGACTGATAGTCACCAGCAGAGTACAAGGTTACGGCCAGCCACGGGGACTGAAATTCACTAACAAAGTACAAGATTACGGCCAGCCTAAGGTGACTGAAAGTCACTAGCAGAGTACATGGCTACGGCCAACCTTTGGGACTGAAATTCACCAGCAGTGTACAAGGTTAAGGTCAGCCTTGGGGACTGAAAGTCAAAAACAGAGTACGAGGTAACAGACAGCCTCGGGGACTGATAGTCACCAGCAGTGTACAAGGTAACGTCCAACCTCGGGGACTGATAGTCACCAGCAGTGTACAAGGTTACGTCCAACCTCGGGGATTGATAGTCACCAGTAGTGTACAAGGTTACGGCCAGCCTAGAGATCTAATAGTCACCAGCAGTGTACAAGGTTACGGCAACCCTCGGAGACTGATAGTCACCAGGAGTTTACAAGGTTACGTCCATCCTCGGGGACTGATAGTCACCAGGAGTTTACAAGGTTACGGCCAGCCTAGAGATCTGAAAGTCACCATTACAGAACAAGGTTACGGCAAGCCTTGGGCCTGAAAGTCATAAAGAGAGTACAAGGTTACGGTTAATCTTAGGGACTGAAAATCAGCAAAAAACAGACAGCCTCGAGGACTAATAGTCACCAGCAGAATACAAGGTTACGGCCAGCCGAGTCAACCACTTTTTTCTTTTTTCTTTTCAGATAACCACGTTTTTGTGATGAAATGCTAAGTACAGTCGCTATGGTCATTATGAAACTTAAATCCGTTTATATGTCGTTCGACTGGGAAGTATTGACAGTATTTATAGAGTAGATAGATTGGAGATCGAAGGACATGTTTTTTTTATTCTTTATCGCAAGCTCGATAGATAAGCGACAGAAAATTCTTTTAATCAAAAGAACTACATTGTATATAAGATATTGTACAGAAATTACAACATAATCTATATTTGAGCTTCTCAAAAAGGACTCCATCTTTAAATAGGAGCAATTTATCTACAGGCGAATAAAAACTAGGAAGCTTTAAACGACTGATAACAAAAGATTATCATTACATATAGCATAAGCTAGTACAGGTCAGTTGGTGAGTATATAAAACAAGATATAGATATAAAGACAAGATATCTTATTCTAATACAAACACTTCAGGATTTCCTAACCTCCAACTCACTGGACAAGCCTTCTAGGAACTGTGAAATACCCTGACATGGTTTATTTGGTCACACTGGGCTATCAATCTTTTTTCGTTTTCATCAAAACCTCAGGACGAATACATAAAACAAAATGCTTTTTACATGTTACCCAGGTATTTATGCAAACATATTCGCAAAACAAAACTTGCTCTAAACTTTTTTCTAACCATCATCAAGTAAACAATCTTGTTACTGTGCTGTCATGACATCATTTATATTGTTGTCAATGAACGTCAAAATAACATGACATAGGTTTGTTGTTTTCATTCTGACGTCATAAAGAATGATATTCTGCCACGGTGTTACACGCATATAATCCTATCTCAAAGTTATATCCAAGGGAGGTAAGTGTGTCAGGCGTAGCCCGTTTGGTAGAACACAACATTCCAGTGCCTTGGCAAGGGTTACCGGGACAGTTAACGAGGGCTTGGTTACGTCACACAGTGTGTATAGTATATACTCACTACCTTTGTAGCATACACACATCGTAAACTAAGGTTTGACCAGGGACATTCAGGAAACTCTCACGGGTTGTTTGGTATCAGGTGCATAACGATATTTTAACAAGATTGAAGCAGCATGTTTGCAAACAGAGTTTGCGCAGAAAAAAATAATCTCATCTTTATAACGTGTACGGTAAATATATCGTAAAGGGTTTTAATTTCATCACGTTGCCTGTGCGTATGATTTTGCAAAGGGAGATAACTATTGACATGTGTAATGTTCAAACAACCAAAAGCGATCCATCAGCATAATAATATCAGCTCACGGTTGCTAGCGGTAGTGAAAAGTCATGCCCTATGAATTATCCCTCCAGCTACCCATTCTGCCTTGTGTAAGTCTACGTAGATCCACAGGGGTTCGTAACAACTGTCTGAAATACACTATCATGCTATAACTGATATGGGTCACAGCACACATAAACATACATGTATATGAATGTGTATGTGTGCTATGACCCAAACCAGTATATCATATGTGTATTAATGTATGTTTATGTTACTGTGACCAATATCAGTATAGCATATGTGTATTTCAGACATGTTTAACGAACCCCTGTGGTAGATCCATGTGGTCCCGTTTTATGTGAAATACAGTCTAACAGCCAAATGTCATATTCAATGTTTCGTCCTTTCCAGCCACGTCTGGTGTCCTGTCTATTTCGACATTCAATTACTGCAGCTTCATATTCCAGAAGATGTAGAACCTCGAAATTTAGCCGCTCTCCACTTCGACCTAGTAAAAAGATGGCTGCCGTAGACTCGCAGCTGAGCTTGTACACCGCGTCCAGACATTATTCTTCCGCGATGACGCATCAAAAAAATTGATATCTTATGAATTCATCATATATATGACATAATATGACATTTGAAATATGGTTTGTAATTTGTTCGCCATAATTTGGCTGTATTGAACTATCAACGTATACCATCATTTTGTATGATGTTCTTCAATGACGGACTATTTTTGTTTTATATTACGTCAATACGTAAACTTGCACAAGCTCCAGAACCAGAGACAAGCGGTCAGAATGGACTTAACAAGGTACAGTTATTGAAAAAACACGTTTGTGTGAAATATAAGTATTGAATCCTGCTTTGATCGATTTCAAGGGTGATGAATTGAGTTTTTCTTGAAACAAATTTAATGAACGTTGAAGCAGTTCATGTTGAATTTGTTTTAAGACTAACTCAATTCATCATCCCATGAAATCGACCAAAGCAAGATTCAATCCTTAAATGAAATGCATTTCTGCTGGTAATGTTCATATATAATGCAATATCAGGTGACATTGATGTTTTAAGTGTTATTTGACGTGACAGTTTTATAAAAACTGTGAATTGAATGTGTAATAGAAAGTGTTTTGTCAAGTAATAATTTAATAAATAGGGTTTTGTGAAGCAACAATGTAAAAGATAGTGTTATGTCTAGTACATGTTGCAATGTAATAGATACAATTATGTCAAGTAATAATATCATAAATAGTGTAATGTCAACTAACAATGTAATTAAGAGGGTAATGTCAAGTAACACTGTAATAGATAGAATTATGTCAAGTAACAATGTAATAGATAGAATTATGTCAATAGGGTTATGTCAATTAACAAAGTAATAAATAGAGTTATGTTAAGTTACATTGTAATAGATAGTGTTATGTTAAGTTACATTGTAAAAGATAGAATTATGACAAGTAACACTGTAATAGATAGAATTATGCCAAGTAACAATGTAATAGATAGGATTATGTTAAGTTACCTTGTAATAAATAGGGATATTTAAGGTAACAATGTAATAGATAGTGTTATGTTAAGTTACAATGTAATAGAAAGTGTTATGTTAAGTTACATTGTAATAAATAGGGATATTTCAGGTAACAATGTAATAGATAGGGTTATGTCAATAGGGTTATGTCAAGTAACAATGTAATAAATAGAGTTATGTTAAGTAATAATGTAATAGATAGTGTTATGTTAAGTTGCATTGTAATAAATAGGGATATTTCAGGTAACAATGTAATAGATAGGGTTATGTTAAGTAACAATGTAATAGAAAGTGCTATGTCAAGTAAAAATGTACAGTAAAGGGTTATGTCAAGTAAAATTGTAATGAAAAGGGTCATGTCAAGTTACATTGTAAAAGATAGTGTAATGACAAGTAACAATGTAATAAATAGTGTTATGTCAAGTAGCAATGTAAAGTATAGTGTTATGTCAATTAACATTGTAATGAAAAGGGTCATGTCAAGTTACATTGTAAAAGATAGTGTAATGTCAAGTAACAATGTAACAAATAGTGTTATTTCAATTAACAATGTAATAAATAGAGTTATGTAAAGTAACAATGTAATAGATATAAGTATGTCAAGTAACAATGTAAAATATGTTGTTAGTCCGAGCGCTGCGATTTGACAGATGTTTTTCAGTTTCGATTCCCGACAACTTGATCATTCTTTGCATCATGGTGCATATTTTATTGACTCCTACTGGCAGTTTCATGAACCAAATTGGATTATTAATTGATGATATTTATTTGGTTGCTATGTAAAAAGGATCAGATGGGGCACCGTAGCAAGTCGGGCGTTTCTCACGGTAAAGTTTATAAATTGTCACAGGGCACCTGTCAGGGACTTTCAAATTTGCCCAAAGTTTCGGTTTAATAGCTGTAATATCACGAGGATTTTCTCCCGTTCTTGTTTTTGTTTGGCGTTCAGTAAATTCAAGATATTCGTGCCCATCCCCATCCTTTCCAAGAGTCACGTCACCCCAATACATGATCCTATGTTCTGCCGAGTCCCGGAGACCAAAATGAACGGTATTATAAAACCACAAAGTTTGTGGAAGGCTATCAGGTGTGTTTGAACATATATAGTTGACCAGCATTCCAAAACATGTCGATTTCAGTGTCATTTATTGGATCACTTCTGTGTGCTTAATTACCTTTTCCGTCGCGTTTTAACTGATGCTGTTTACTTTTC